GGACTGAGGCATCTGTTGGCAACGCTTCTCTGTAAATTTGAAATATAAGAGTGGGTACATTACAAACAGCTTTGACAGAAGAGCATCACAAGGAATTCCTCTGCTCAGGTCCTGTGAGCTGAGTAACACGGAGCAGGAGAATGCAAGAGAGAGCAAAGAGGTGCTCCCAGGAGCTGCTGGGGCAGGAGGCGCCCAGATCTCCTTTCTCAGTTACAGTGGGTTGCTGTGTTGCTTTCAGATGAAGTGCAGAGCCTGCCCTTGGGCTTTCAGTCAGCTAACCTTTATAGTTGTTGCATTACTAAAGAATTAACTTTTTTCTTTATTGAACACTGTTAAAATATCAGCATACAGTGCTTCATGTTGTTCCTTTGGCTTTTATTAAGCCAAGGCTCTGACAAAGTTCATCATCATACCAGCATATTCTGGTATATCCCAAGCGATAACTCATATTGCCCTGCCCAGATTGGGCCACCCTGTGACTCTTCCTTCTTCCTTTACACTCCCCTTACCTGTTCCTTAATTGTCTCTTACTGTCACTTCAAAGACACACTATTTATTTGGAAATGACATGTGGCAATACATTTCCTAAGCACTTACAAGAAAAAAGAACAACAATATTTCTAAGGCTGAAGTAACATGGTGAATCTATCAGGGAAAATGTTACTAAAGGGTGGCTCATAATTTTTTACCACATCCTTATCAGTAAAAGCTTTATTCTTCCAACCCATCCAGTGCTATCACCTCAGAATTCCCTAAGTTTTATAGTATTTGCATGTTCATGTGGGGTTGTGGTGTTTTTTTTCAGATAATTACCCACAGATTAGAAACAATTTACTTTTTTTGCCCCATTTCTTTTGAAATGAATCCTGAGCAGCACTCAAGACAAAAATTCAGACTGGTGTCTTCTCTTGCTGGTTCCAAGATGAGCTGTTTGGGGAACCAGCCATTTACTTTGTTGAAAATATCCTACCCCGATGCCTTGTCCTGAAAAGGCACTGACTGGGGCTACATGAGGAGAGCTGAAATCTTCTGTTATTGATACTCATCTGCAGTATACATTTCCTTAAAATATCAGCTCCTCGCATGTTCAAGAGCTTCTTTTCACTCAAAACTGACATTTCCACGGCAACATTTAAGTTTGTTTTATTCACTTGATGTATTTTTTTCCTGAGATGGTTATGCAAATATTAACAAACTCTGTAAACAAGAACAAGCTTGGGAGAGGGGTGGGGGAGACCTTATTGCTCTCTTCCAATATCTGAAAGGTGCTTACAGAGAGAGCAGGGCTGGTCTCTTCTCACTGGTGACAGGACAAGGGGAAATGGCCTCAAGTTGCACCAGGATAAGTTTAGTCTGGATATCAGGAAAAACTTCTTTACAGAAAGGGTTGTTAAGCAGTGGAATAGGCTCCCCAGGGAGGTGGTTGAGTCACCATCTCTGGATGTGTTTAAAAACAGTTTGGATGTGGTGCTCAGGGACATGATTGAGTGGAAGGCTGTTAGAGTTAGATGGTGTGGTTAGGTCGTGGTTGGACTCAGTGATCTTTAAGGTCTTTTTCAACCTGAGCGATTCTATGATTCTATGATTCTAAGCCACAAAGGAGAAACTCCTCCTTAACTCCGTCTATGAAGACCATTTGATACAAATGGCCATGTGTGTGGTATACTTTTTTCTACTCAGCATCTCTTGCAATAAGCCACTTGGGTATATTTGATGTGCTTTTATCTTAAGATATTAAACTTGCATGTGCTGCTATTCACCTCCAACGTCTTCATTCTTGTTTTAAATCTCTGTCATAAGATGATATTGTCTGATCCCTACTGATCAACGAAACAGCCCCTATTTGTATATGGCTCAGGCTTATCTCAAGTCATGAGCTCTGCAGAGATGCCAAGCAGAGACTATTTTTTTGCACCATTCATCTCAGAATTCAAAAATTATTGTTGCAAAAGTTGCAGGCAGCTTTTTTTGGAGCCTTTTGAGAACACAAAGATATAAACTATGGAGGAAAAAAAAAAGAAAAAAAAGGAAAAAAAAGAAAAGAAAAAAATGATTGAGAAATAAAATGATTTTTCAGAGTTTTAAAGAGCTGGATATGGAACAGATCCTTTCCTTATTCTGGTACTGCAACCACAAAACTGGTTTTCCTATCACAGAAAATGGTGTGTTTTCAAAAATAACTTTCCCAGGGCAGATTCATAACAAATGTTACAATTGTTACAGCTCTTATGGAGTCAGTTGTCCTATTACTGGTTTATACCAACTGAAGATCTGCCTCTTCAGCAATAGTTTCACAACTGATCTTGGCTTATCTCCTTGAAAAGTTACAAAATATACATCAAATGATGAGCATTCATAAGCATTTGAAATATTAGGAGGATTTCTGGTGTCATGGAAAGTTCCATAATTTTCAAAATTGCATGTTGTAGTTTCCAGTTGTTGGAAACAATGAGCGAATTTACCAGCTTACACTAGGAACTGTTGACTGTGTCAGATCAGTCATTCACCTAATTCAGTTACAACATTTGCACTATTCACTTTCTTTCCAGCTGCCTCAGTGAAAAGTGAGTGCAAAAAAGGATGGAAAATGATATTATACCACTGCAAAGTTACCTCTCACAGACATTGCTTTCAGAGATAAGAAACAGAAAAAGCAAACTGAAGCAATAAGGCAAACTGACCGCTACAAATCAAACAGCAATCTAACTTAGTTCACCACACGGGCCTTTGGGATTTTCATACCTTATGTGTTTAATCAGGTTTCTGATGATTTCTGTTCATTAAGGAAGACATTTTTATTTGCTCAGGTTAGTAGATTTCCTCCTCCAAACTGCTTTGCACCACCCTATTTCTATAACATCCCGTTAAGTGTTGAGGTCAAAGCCACAAAACATGAGATTGAAATATTGTATCTAGGCAAACTTAAATAAGATTTATCCCCAAGACCCACTGAAAATCTTACTAATACTTAAATGTGTGTAATTTCATTTCTTTTTTAGAGACTATGCTTAACCTGTGTTATTTCAGTGCTACACTTCACAACATTGCCTTAGAAATCATTCAGCGGGCAAAAATGAAGGACAAGGATTTGAGTGCAGGATGATGAACTATAGTGTGGGAATGGGAATAGATGGCTAGAGGCAGAGCAACTGGATTTGCCTTCAAAGCATGTGATAAAACTCTGCCCCAGACTGAAGATTTAAGAGAAAAAATACTGCTGATGAACAGTGATGTTGATCTGATGTTATGTGGCAGTTCTGGGGGGATGTTAAATATGGCCTTGGGTATATGGGTTCTCTCCCCTCTTCTTGCCAGACTGCACCTGGCACATAGGACTAAGTCACTTAAATAGAGTACTCCTTTTTAAACTAAAGTTGATGTACAGAAGCTCAGGTAGGTAAGAATCTACAACAGAATTTAGTAGACTCTATCCTCTAGGCATACAAAATGCTGCCTAATCTAATGTTCTGAAAAAAAATCATAGTAAATGCATCTCAAGTGAGGCAGACCAAACCCAGCTTTTCAACCTCTCTCTGATACTCTGCACACTCCTCAGCTATGTGAGGTGGACACACCAGCCCCAAACTATGCAGGGTTATTTTGGAGCAGGAACAGTAGTGATAAGCACTACAAAAAAAGCTTCTGAATATATTAAGACTTCTGCATTCTTGGATTGCTGGAGAAAAATGTGTGATCATGCAATTAAAGGCTGCATCTTAATTCATATGCACAAGGAAGCAAATGATGGTTGCATAGGAAACCTTGATTCTGGCATTTCCTAGACTTTTAATGCTTGCCTTTAAAATGTTAATAATGTGCCTTTAACACAGTGGATTTCTGGTATATAATATGTAATTATCTGAACCTATGTCTGTGATGCTTTCCCAGTATCTGGGCAACATTGTGTTTTTATCCTTTAAAAGAATCCCAAAGAATAGTCATTATTTAACAAAAATATCTTTGGCTTTCCTTATGCTTTGCTTTCATGTGGAAGCCACAAACAGATTTTCACATACCAGATGAATAATGTGTAGGAAGAGTGAGAAAGGAAGGGAATTGACTTTTTCTTTTTTCTTTTTTTCCTTTTTCCTGAAGTATGTGAATTTAATCTCACTACTTTATTTCAGACATAATGCACATCCAAATTTATAAAAAAAAGATCTGCTGAATGCTTCACTATGTTGTTTCATACACTACTGAAGCTCATGTTTTACAAAATACGTTTCTTCAACCGAATTTTCAATTGTGATATATATTCATTTCCAACTGAGATTGAATTGAAAATGAACATACATCAACGTCTTGGTGGTAGGCAATGTAAAAACATTCTGCATCTTCAAAATATCAAGCAAAATGCAATCATAGATACGCTGGGCAGCCGTTAGATAACCCGACCAGATTTAAATGTTTCACAGAAGTAAAACTTCTTAAGATGATGGATTTTTCAGAGAAACTTTTTCTCATCAGTGCCAGGAGGGCAGTGACTGGTTATCCCACACATCTGAACTAAAAAGCATTGTGACACTTGCAGTAAGATTCCCTGTCCATCCCTCTGCACCCCACCATCATGTAATGCACAGTTATGCAGATAATCTGCCAGCAGCATTGTGGCTTCCTAGGTTGGGGGAATACATTCATGATTAGTAAATGTATGATTATTTTTCAGAGAAGAAAGTATGTAAGAACAATTTCACTTTGTCAGCTAAAACCAATGGAATTACTACATTCGTAGCAATCAGAGACATAATGTATTCTTGACAATGTATCACAAGAAAATTTAATAGAAATCCTAATTTCTTCATATTAAAAAATAGATGCATGTCCTCAATCTATAATCTCAGAAATACTAACAAAATGCTCACAGCTCTAGTGCAGATGTCAACCCACCTCAGTAAAAATTCCAAGTAAATATGATAGATCAGTTTAATTAAATAAGACATCAGCAGCAGAAAACAAGCATTCATCCAGTTTTCCATTCACTTCTATGTTTTGCTACTTACCTCTGAGGGCTGCTGCTTGTTCAGAGCACATAGAATGCAGCAGCTCAGTCCAAGAGAAAAACCAGTTATTCCCTTTCACCCTCTGTTATGCCTTGAAACTCTTTCACTTCTTCTTTTTGAGACGCATAGAAATACAAGGATGGTCCTTCGGGGCTCTATCCAGGTCTGTTTACATTATGTAAAACAGATGAATACATTTCCTATTTTAACCATGAAAATCATGCCTTCACTGACAGGCGCCTGGATCATTAATAGTATGCTGTGTGCAACTGTGAAAACCCACGTAATGCTCAGAAATGGTCTCAGTTTTCTAAATGAAGAGCCAGATTAAAATCCGCAAACCAACTTGGCTTTGTTGCAGAAGTTTTTCTCTACTGTAGAAGAAGCTGGAAGTCACTGTTGGTTAGCAGAAGGATTTCACTGGAAATGCTGGAGGAAACCTCTAGACTCAGGTTAGCACCAGAACCAAAGACGTGGAGTGTTATGGCCTCAGTCAGCTCCCACACCAAACCTGTGATTCTTTCCTCCCAAAGCAATTTTGTCATACAGCAATGTCAGCAAACTGCTTCAGCAGTTTTTGAAAAGATTCCAACTCAAATTACAGTACCAAAAGCCTGCTCTGGGCTTTACCCTTATTATTTTTTCCTAGAATATTTAAATTTCCTATTATTCCCCACCCGGTCTTAAGCACACTTTCCAGAACACAGGAAAATAGTCTTTCTTTCCTGCAGTCCTAAATGCTTTCATTAGGGAGACTTAACACTGAAATGTTTTGGAAAAACAGATGCTCTAGATTTAAAAGAAGCAAGAGACGACTCTCAGTGAACAGCTGCATTGCTCTCAGCTACAAGCAAGCTGTATATCAGAACAGTTTTGTATGTTACTTTGTCGCTGGGAACATATTATTACCATCTAAATTTAAAGACAGTGGCTTTCTTACATGAAAGCAAATGCAGACATAAAACCACAGTGACTGTTCTGTTCAAGTATTCCATGCCAATGACGCAGAAAATAATACCAAAGTGAAAAACAGTTCTTGTTTTAGGTGGGCTGTGCTTGCAATATGCCTGGCCAAAAACACAGGTATAGGAATTCTTGCACATTTTCAAATCAGTATTCACAGTGGTCTGTTAAAGTCTCACTCTGCAGCTGCTTCAGCTCTTTGTTGACTTTTCAGAAGTATCCTGTCCTTACCAACAGGCTCTACTATATTACACATTAACGGGTTGACGGACATTAAACCCATGTTCCAAAATAATCATTTTTCAGTTCTAAAGGAAAACACTCCTAAAATAAATGAACAGTAACTACTTCAGTAGATTTTATGTCAAGTAATTCCAGTGTTTGGGCAGACAAGACCACCAATGAGCACTGAGTATACCGATTGCTCTTAAGACAGCTAGTAAATTTCCTAAATCCTGGGAGAAAATCTAAACTAGTTTTCAAAAATTGTCTTAGAAATTTCAAATAAAACAGTCCTTTTTGTCCATGAAATGTAAATTGACTTTTGTTTATCTCTTTTGGAGTCTTCCTACACATGTGATACAGTACAACTGCTACATTTATTTTCCATGATCATTTAAGCAGTCAGTAAATGAATAATCCATTGCAATTCACATAAATTACATGTTTTGGTAAAAGTGCACTAATTGTGTGGATAATAATTGTGTGGATAATGTAAGATTGATTTATTTTAATTAAACGAATACATGTAAAACAGAGACATCAATGGACAGCCCCTTATTGTCTAAGAGATATTTTAAGGAAAAAGTTGAACAAAGTGTTGTTAACATCACTGCGAATCTTGTGATTACTATCAAATGCATAACTTAGGTCAACATTTTTGCATATGTATATACAATAAATATGCATACATGTTCTGTATAAGGATTTCTTTAAATTTTCTTAGCATAATTTTTGTATTTCAGAAGTATTAATTCTAATTCTCTCCATCCTGCATAGAAATAGGGGATGTCTACTTGTAGATAAGTCTGTGTTTCCTGATGATTTTTATGTAGCTAAATCTGTAATGTAAGATTAAATATCTTAGAGAAGGAATTGCAATGACAAGATGAAAAAAACTCCCATTTTTTCCCCCCTTATTTAGTAGAAATATGCTAGTGAGCATTATTCTGACTATCAATCAGTATCTGGCCATTAATCTCATTGTTATTCAGTAAGTACTCCCTGTTATAATTTCTCAGGCATGTGCTGCAAGTCTAATGATTTTTCTGTGCTGTATCATAAGGGAAAGAAGGACGTTGAGTTGTCTTCCAAGTCTCTTCACCTCGTTGCTGGCAAGACTAGCCTTTCCCTGTATGATTCCTGAATATAAAGTTGGGTGGATAAATAAGGCTGTGATCAAAATACTGGATAGCTGGGTAGAGAAAACTTACAGTAGAAGAAGGGAAATAGCCTTGCAATTTAATTTTTTTTTTTTTAAAGACTGTTTTACCATTTTGTATACAGCTTCAACCTTTTCATTTGCTGAAGATGTGGAAAAAGCTCTGACAACTAAAGACATAAATTTTCAAATTTAAGTAACAAATATTAAGTTAAACTAAAGTTTCTGACCCAGCAAAGTTCTTAAACATATGTTTAAATGTAATACGTAATCTTAGCAAAGCTTATAGGATTCATCTGTCAGTGAAATGCCTTACGTGCAAACATTCTATGCTTCTTTGAAATCCACATTTTAAATCCACATCCACATCCAAATACCTGAAATTTAAGCACACAAGTTTGAAAATCTAGCAAAAGCTTCTTAAATCTTTTGCTGAAAACTAAAACTAAGACCTTCTCTGTTCTGGAAGTGTGTATGAATCCTTACTCTTTTGGTCACAAGAAATGGTTGTTAACCAGTGGAGGAGTTGTGTCATGATCACGTGCGGTGCTGGAGGGCTTCTGAGGCAAACTGCAGAGATCAATGTGAGTTGAAATTTTTGGGGCAGGACGGTGCTAACAAATGAATCAACATGCTGGAAAAAAGTTGGTGTTTTATAGGCTTTTTAATGGGCAAAATTACCAAAAAGCTTAGAAGGCTTAACATCAGATTTAGAACTTCTCTTTTGCAAAACTTGGGCTTTAACTTTGCCGTTTTGCATGAGACTCATTTTTACACTTCCGTATGTGAAGAACCTCTAGCAATTTACGCTGCAAGAGTAAATAATCTCTAAAGTGAATTTGTGCCTTTTTAAAATAACTCTTTAAGAATCTGAGGCTGACCTAGGTGTCCTTGTGGACAGCAGGTTGACCACGAGCCAGGAGTGTGCTTAAGAAGACTGAAGACTGATTTGTTTATAATCAGATTGTAGATCTTCTAGATTATAGCTAGAATACAAGGTATTCTTTGCTGACACCAAATAGTGAGCCCTTTTACTGATGTTTGGCAACACTCCATCTTCTGCAGTTAAACTTTACCCTTTGTTTAAAAGTCTTTCAATTACAAAGACATCAAATTGTCAAATTTACCAGGTAATGACTGCAGCAGGATTTAGCACAAACTTGGCATACCAAACTTCACTTAAGATATTGTTTCCCCATTGAGGAAGGAGTAGGTGGGGACAAATTTGCTAGGTTACTTCTTGAAAATCCAAGATTTGCTTCTGATTCCTGCTTTTTAGGCAAAGAAAAAAAAGATTGAAATTTTCACTGTATATCAGAACACTAAGTGCTAATTTTAGAACTTTTCAGATAGAATCTGTAGATACTTCAGAACACATGGAAGAAAAAAATTGCATTTGAGGAATGCCTGTTAAACAGGTTTTAATGAAATTAGAACTATTATTTATTCAGTATTTCTGAAACACTTAGAAATGGTATTTGTATTCAATTTTGAGATGGGAATTCCTTCTGTCCTTCTTTGCAATCAGTGATCTAAAGCAATTGCTCTTTAAATCAGAAATTCTGATTTTAAAGCTTTTTTTGTTCCAATACCTTGACATGCTCTGGGTACTTTTTTATTACTTCTGTTGACATTTGTTACCTTGCCTGATTTGAAAATAACACTGGAGTTAGTAAAAAAATAGACCAGATGTTCCAGTATATTCCTGGATGGTTTTTCAAAACATCCTAAGCAGTATTTTCAAAAGATTACAAAATTTATATACCACTATCCCCATGTCTCTTGATCAGGATATTTTGACTTTTAAAATGTTCCATTAACTTCCTTTTGTTTTCTTAAGAAGGCCTTTTGTTTTGTTGGTTGGTTTGTGTTTTTTTTTTATCACGTGTCATAAAAATTTGTTGCACGTGTAAGCAATTTAATGGTTCGCTGAAAGATTGTTATGCAACTGGATTGTGTAAAATCTTGTCCAAGCCCAGAAATGGCAGTGAAAGGGAAAGAGAGAAAAGACTGAGAAATTACATATGCTTTCTGTATATATTTATATCTTGAATATGTGGTTGAATGTAGCTACTCTTTTTTTTACCCTGTGAGTGTGAAAGGAAAGAGAAGATTAGGTACCTCATGTTGGGAAGACAGGAAGAGACAGGTGCTCCCTATTCCCAGCAGTCAAGACTCCAGAGTCCTAATTTACCCAACAGTGAATATATAGTAGTAAAAATATTTTCCACAGGTCTGCTATTCTTTTTCCTGTTTCTTCCCACACTGTATAAGCATTACTTTTATGTTTCACTATCATAGAAATTCTGGTGATTTTCAATAGAATAATTAATGAGATGGCAATCTGCACATTATGTGAAAGTATGTGTTTTGTTTACAGTCAATTCTGAAAACATGGACTTCTGTCCTTCAGATACAGAATAAATCACTAAGCAGCTGATTATTATTATAATGTATGTTGCATGACCCACGACACAGAAAGCATATTTTCATTACTCTGATGACTAAAACTGGCTACTGTTTTTATGGATGTACATACACAGTGTTATGAATTGGTGAATTCTTGTTCAATAATGACTCATGCTATTGTTCTGTGTCTCTCTTGATCAGCTCCCCACAAAAATAGCTGTAAGAGTTTGAGACAGGCACTACATTAATCTTAGTAAGGCT